GGGGAATCTGCAGGAGAGTTGATACAATGAATTGAGCGCTCACAATATTTCACCTCCAGCACGGGCTTGATCTTGCTGACGACTCTGCCAAGTATAATCTCTTCATCAACCACAAAGACATTGCAACCATGTATACTCAATTTCTGCAAACCAGATCAGAAAGATTGAAAGGCAGAGCATAAACAACGCTAGTTTGAAGACCGATTGCCCCTGTTGCACCTCAGAAAGCTGAAAAGACGTAGCAATAAACACATCTATTTGATTAGTGCTGTGCCCCTATGGCACCTTTATTACCATTTTCGCCCAAACTGTCGCCCCGTTGTGAAATGGGGGTCACAAGAAAAGGCGATGAATAGCAATAATACCAGAGTCAACTAGCTATCCCTCAGCCGCCCAGCGTCCTTGGTAGGCAGAACCTAACCAGAGGAACTGGGTACTGCAGAATACTGATCCTTTTTGTGGACAAATACCGATGCTCCTATGCCATGCCATAGACCTCCAGCCCAAATCCAAGCGATGCTGGTACATTGCACAAAGTGCAATCGCGCTTCAGGGAAGCTCGAAGATGGGCCTTTTGATGGAGGTCTCATACCGTATGTTGACGGGGCACGCTTAGGACAGTACTAGCCACTCTTCCAGTCGGTAACAAGTGATGCTCATAATTAGAACATACAGTACATTCTGAGAATTTTCAAGGGGTTTTAAACGCACATTCAGATCTTCAAGCGTTACATATCTCAGGCGACACTTTCGACGAAAACTGTAACAAAAACAAAGGTGCAGAAGCGTACCTATATCGAAGAGTGACTTGCCCTTGCTTGGGGACCGCCTTCCGAAGTCCTCGCAACATGCCCTCCGAGACAGCTTCTCTGTAGTTTGCCATTGAGGCGCTTTGTCTTGTAAAGGAGCACTCTGTCCGGGGGTAGCCACCTGTGGCTTAGAGCTTGGAATCCGGAGGGATTCTGTGGTCCGGGTTGGTAGAATATCCGAGGTGAAAGGGTATGCTGAAAGGGAAGGGGCGGCTGAGACTCCGTACTTTGGGAATGAGCTGCTTGCCAAACGAATACGGCCTTAAGTAGAGGTAGTCTACGGTGAAGAGTTGCAAATATGATGCTTACTGTGCTGCACACCCTCACGGCACGTAGGACCAGTCGTGTTTTAGTTGATGTCATGTGACGTAAACATGTTGCACCCGTATAAATCGACGGTTCAGAATTGTCTAGATATGTCCAGTGGGCGCATCTTGATTGGTCAAAACTCGAGCAAATCTCAACCGTTTGAGATCTTAACCCTAATGGTTTGTACCTATTTCGTTCGTTGTTCGGTGCAAAATTGCATCAGACTGCGGAGCACCGGAACACTGAGCGCAAGAACACAATGTTTGAAGAATCGCCAAACGTAGGGACTGAAGTAACATTCACGCCACTTGGTTGGTTTTCAGATTGGTGCTTCTCACCTGCAGCTCTTGACTTGCTCTATTTTGCCAGGGGATACCCGCTCAGGTGACATGCATTTTACCGGAAGCAATGGATACTGTAGCACAAGAGCTTTCAATCTATGCTTCATCTTTTAGGGCCAGCCATTCCCCACAAATTTTGAGCACTTCTTCTGCAACCAGTTCTGGATGACTCTCTGATATGTATCTCCCGCTCAAAATATATTCCCATGGAGATCTGCACGTATACAAGCACATACTGCAATCTATGTAGTGTTTTAGCTCACTGTCAATAGTCTAGACCTTGCTCAGGTTTTATGATGGCGGGCATTTCTGCAGTCAAGAAACCCAGAAGCGATGGTTTCGCTACTAGAGTAAAAGCAGCCATTGAAGGTCAGTTTCTTATTTGGTATTTTCTGCAACCCCGATCATGGCTTTTATGTCCATACTTGATGTTGGGTCTTGAAATATCAAGCGTTAAGATTGAACCCTTGCCAGTGGCCAGTGATATTGTGTCTCAAGTTTGAAGGATGAAGTTCAAAGCATGCAGCACTTGCTAGAATAATGTCATCCTTGTCATGATCATGTTTGTGATGTTGTGTTGCAGGTTTGAAAGATGAAGTTCACAACATGCAGCATCTTGCAGAAATAAAGAGTCTGCAACGTTTCTGTAGCAGGAGACAGGTTGAGGATGATATCTGGGAAGATTATGGAAAACTATCTCAAAAGGTATTGGAGTATCTTCCCAAAACCATGCCACAACGGTCTAGACAGATTCACACAAGATATATGCCTATTTTGAATCAAGGGTTGGTGCAAGTTCTTTTTGAAGCCATGCATTCACAGGAGCGGCACATAGATGAACTAGAAAGAAGGATTGCTGAAATGAATAAGGAAGAGTTTTCTGGGTTGAAGGAAAGGCAGGCGTTGCTTTTTGGGGAGAATAAGGAGGGGCAAGCGCTTGAACCGCTGGAGAGACAGGCGCCGCCATCGGTGTTCCCTGAAAAGAAGCTGGCACCCAGGTCGATGCTCCCTGAGGCGGGGCAGGGGCAGGAGAAGCTTGTGTCAAGGTCGATGATCCCTGAGGCAGGGCAGGGGCAGGAGGAGCAGACGCCTGTACAGCTGGAGAGACAGGCGCCGCCATTGGTGTTCCCTGAGGAGGAACAGGGACGGGGGAGGCTGGCGCCAGGGTCTATGCTCCCTGAAGCAGGGCAGGGGCATGAGAGGCAGCCCCCTGAGGAGGGGGAGCAGCTCCTCAAGGAGGGGGAGGGGCAGGAGAGGCAGCTCCTCAAAGAGGGGGAGGGGCAGGGGAGGCTGGCGCCAGGGTCGAGCCTTCCCGGGGATCAGCAGGAGAGAGAGAGACCGGACTCGGTGCAGCCCTCGGAGAAGGATAGGAGAAAGGCAGAGAGGCGGCAGCGAAAGGGCTCGAGGAAGCGGGAACACAATCCGACAATGGTGAGTAAGAA